AGTGCGGAAGATAAGGACGAATTGTGGTGAAAGAAGAACAAGAGCATACGTGAACTTATACGATGTAAGAGTATTATCAAGTTACAATATTGAACTCTGATATTCATGGAAAATTGATTATTGTAAAATAGTGTCCCCTGTGATCACAGATTTCATATACAGGGTGTCTGTTTTATCTCAATACAGCGAAATATCTTTTAAGGAAGAGATGTTCGGGAAAAAATGGTTTAACAAAAGTTGTTTGGTACGGACATTGTGTGATATAAATATTTTTTTTTGTACCAGGTATGATGAGGGAGATTTCAAAGTCAGTTTAATTTTTTTAAATGGATTGCTATATTTTGTTATACATAATATGATAGTGTATGTTAAGCCGAGTTCAACGAGCTGCCAACAAAGTCATTTCCTTTCATGGAAGGTCGTCGAACTACCATACGTTCCTCACTGTCGCGTGTCTGTTTTATCAAAGGAAATGACTTTGTTCGCACCTCGTTGGACTCGTCTTAACATACACTATCATATTACGTATAAAGAAATATAGCATTCTATTTAAAAAAATTAAACTGACTTTGAAATCTCCCCCATCATACCAGGTACAAAAAGAATATTTACACCACATAACGCCCCCCTCCATACAACATTTCCTCCCTAACATCACTTCCTTAAAAGATATTTCACTGTATTGAGATAAAACAGACACCCTGTATATACTGTGGCAAGTTTTTTTTTTCTCTGCTTATTTCAACAGCTTAATATTCTTCTTTGGTACACATATATACAGGGTGGGCCACGTAAAACAAGTCCCCTAATTATCTCCTCTAGCTACGAGAAAATTTGTAAACGTAATTTAGGGTTACGTGGTTTCAAAGGGTGAACAAGATGGAAGAAAAATTTCTTTGATCAAAGAAATGGCAAAAAATGAAATTTAAAAATTTTAGATCGACTGCAATGGATTTTTCTTATAATTTTACCATATCAAATCTCTTCTTCAAGACGAGAATGCAAGCAGGAAACAGCTCAAAAAGAACATCGAAAAACGTTCACAGAAGTGTGAATACAAATTTATTCAAAAATGAAGCTTCCTCTGAAAAAATTTAGGCTACATTTTCGAATTACTATTTTCTTGTCGTGTAGATTCACCCTTTGACGAGCTGTACCACTTGTTCGCAAATACCCCGTGTATTCTATCTCGTGGAAAAAAATCTGATTAAGGAAGTACGGAGTGGCAAGTGTCGATCCAACAGATACGAAAATTCTTGTTCCGTCGTGGTCAAGGTGTTTCGCAGGTCGGTGTTAGCCAGAGGCGGCAGTTTTCCAAAGCACACGTTCGACGCGGCACGATCGTGTATCGGAATTCGCCGTGTTCCCAAGCGAAGAAATCGCGCGATTATGCGGAGAACGTTCCCCGCGACTTCCTTCCCCGCATGCCTGGCGTTTTTCCTCGTCGCGGTCCCGCGACTATCTCCACGGAATTCGAGACGAGATTCGTGAGAAATAACGGGCCAATTCGAACGCTATTACGCGCATTCGTATTCGACGATCCTTAATAGAATTTGCATTCGAAATGTCATGCAGCTTCTCACGGTGAAATGTATTTACGGTACGACTCCGTGACTCGATTCGTCGTCGACGACGACGACTCGAGGAGAACAATAATCGAACAGATTCTCCCCCCTTAACCGTTCGAGAGAGCAGCTTGTCTTCATGTTAATCAGTAGTTATACATCTCCGATTATTCTACTGGTAAATTCGAGTGTTTTCGATACGTTAACGAGATCCTTTAAGTATTTTACGGTCGTTAGTGGGTTCGGTAACTTACGAGCGACTGATTTTATTACGATAAACGGTTTCATTAAGTAAATGATCGAATAATTTCGTATCTCGCTCCAGTTCTATACGTGGATCGCGAGTTTAATGAAGGCGCGCGGCGCTATCGTGGACCTCCGTGAAGTAAATGTACCGTTTGAAGATAGTTTCATTGATGTTTTAGATGTCTATCAAGATTTCGAAAGATCAAAGCTTCTGAATTAAATTTGAAAATTTTTCGATCAGCGAAAATTGGATAATGAAATTTTTTAATTGGCAAAAATTGAGTCTTTCAATTTTTGAATTATCAAAAATTAAATTTTTTAATTGAGAATATGAAAAGTTGCAAAATTCCAAATATAAGAAATTCAAAACTGAGAAAGTGGATAGTTCCAAAATTGAAAATATAAAAATTTGATAATTAAGAAAGTGAAAAGTTGCAAAATTCCAAATACGACAATTTCAAAACTGAGAAAGTCAGAAGTTAAAAATTCCAAACATAAGAATATAAAAGTGTAAAACTTCAAATCTTCCGATTGACAAAAATCCTATCAATCGACCTACACCACAATTTTCAATCCCTCAATCGTCGGATAAATTACAATTTTCGAGTCAATCCAGGCCAACGAACCACGCGGTCACCGATAACACTTGGCGATCCCGAATAACTCACCTTCTCCGAATTCTCGAAGTCCAGCTTGAACGCCCAAAGTTTCAGCCTGGCGGGCAACTCCGAAATGGAGGCCAAAGTTAGAAGAAACTGCTCGGCCGATCCCAAAGGTAGGTCAGGATTGGCGGCCTGCGCCTCTTGTATCCTGGATCTCTCCTCCTCGGTTGGCAGCATCGTCAATAGTTTCTGTGACGAACAGGTCCGGGAAGACAAGGGGAAAGGGAACGAACGAAGAAGAGAAACGAAGAGAAAATTAGAGAAATTAGAAAAAAACAGTGAAAACAGAGCATACGTGTGTTTTAACTGAATCATAAGGTCAATCGTGAACCAAGAACCGTTACAATCATACTATCGATCAGGATTTCAAACAAAATCGGGATCGTGAGAGAAATATTCCATTTTTACAGGAAGAAATTAACAAATCGATAGAATTATGTCAGAGAGATTTTTCTACTTGAACAAATACTACGATATAAATGGTATTACTTTTGCGAAAAATAAACGATTTACATACGTAAGGCTGTGCAGATTTACCAATGTTTGTACGCCGAACAACAGATTTGTGCTACTGTGTTAGATCGAATTGATTATAGCCGGTATACGGGTCGATTTAATACGAGTCAAGTCGGTTTGCACCCAATCAGGGTGGTTTAATTCGGTCCCGAGCGAGCTTAATCGAATCGTACCGAGCTTATTGTACTAAATACCATATAGCGTCACTCTGAAGCCTGTTTCAGAGCAAGCTTCTTATCTTCAAATTAAGTATTTAGTATTTTCTCCAAAGGTGAAACACTTGTTCTACCAAAAAATTTCACCTTTCTTCGAAAAAACGATACGGTTCGAAACTGAAAGTTTGGTAATATCTGCACATCCTCGAATGATTATCTAAACAACAGATATTAAATTCACCGAGTATAATAAACGAATAAAACAACCTGTAGAAATTAAAAGAAAAAACCATTAAGTGATCGAAATATTAATTATTCTATTCTCATCTTCAAATTAAAAATTTACTACTTTCTCAAAATGTGAAACCTTTCTATTACCGATAAATTTCATTCTTCTCATCTTCAAATTAATTACTTACCATTTTCTCAGAGTGTCAAATTTTTCTTTCACCGAGAAATTTCACTTTTCTTTAGAAATCTAGTTCGAAACTGAAACTTTAGCAATATCTGCACATCCACGAACGATTCTCTAAATAACAGATATTAAATTCACCGAGTGCAAATAAACGACGAGAATTCCCGTTGAAATCGAAGAAAACCATTAAGCGATTGAAATGTTAATTATCGAACTTCCCAAGAGAAGTGCCGGCGAAAGTATCGGGAAGATTCGTTAAACCGAATGAAAGATAAAGCGAAGTAACGTTTGCAATCTTACCTCGATACCCTCTCTGTTCATAATCGTAGCGTCCATTTTCAAGATCGCGGTTTTAATTGATCTCGGCGGAGGCAACTTGGTCATCCCTATGTTGATCGCGTTCGATCGTTTATGGTCCAGCACGATGATCTCCTTGTTCTTGTTCATCTCTTGCTGTTTCTATTCGACGACACAAAAAATTCACCCAATTAACCAGTGACAAACCCGCCGGTATCACCATCTTTCTCTTTACTGGACAATTTCGAAGGCGTTCGGTGATCGTTCGATGTACTCTTTGCAACACTCAAAAAGAAAAAAACAAAAAACAGAAGAAACTTCGTGGAAGTTTAATTAAAAAAAAACAGCGTGCACGAGTGGCTTTTGAAAAATCGGGAACAAAGAGATACGCCCGGTGAAAATCTATGTATTAACAACCAAGTGCAGATCAAATATTTGTACACGAAGAAAAATTGTGGAGGGAGGAATGGGAAATTCGGTGAAACGTGTTTGCTCTTTCCTGGACGGATCAATCGGCGGGAATATATAAAAATATTGCGCGCCGTCGTCAGCGGAAACGGAATTAGTGGAACGAGTTCAAAGCAAACAACCACGGTTAACTGTTGCGACGTCGCTGCGAAATGATGCGAGAAAGGGGGTAAACAAGAAGGCGGTAACAGGAAGGAGCGATCGGAAAGAACGCTGCATAATTAACGGAGAATAAGCGACTGCGTTGAGATTTGTTCAATGGAAAACGTCTTTACAAGGACGACCAATTAACAATTATTAACAGTGTACATTGAGTTAAGTTAGATCGAGTAGATACACGGTATGTACATACAAGGGGAATCATTTCGAAGTGATAATCACCGATTTTGGTGGAACTTAGAAACGTACTGGACAATTTTCCGCGTTGAACGTGTGAAAATGAGTCTCGAAGTTAGGGGTGGTAAATATATGTAGCCTGATATCTCGAAAACTATTAGAAACAGAGGAACAGTGGAAACGAACGAATTCTGTATTTTTCGACGTCAAATTTGAAAAATGAAAAATAAATAAATATGGAAAATAATGAAAGAATTTCGCGAGGTCGTAAATCCCGCTTACACCCTAGGTGACGGTACGGGTATGCTGCTCAATCGAGAGATTGATCTCTTTTGGTGGTTCCAATTAAGATCCGCTAATTTAGAGAATTTGATTTTGTCACGACTGAATTTGCAAATGTTGATTGGAGATATTGTATTAGCGAGTAATTCGAATTTTGTGTTGTAATGTGTTTGGCTGGGTTGGGTGTCACTGAGAGAGCGAGACTCCAAGCGCTGGTTAGAGAACGACCCGTGGAGTCGTCGCCCTGACGGAAAAGAGCATCGGTTATAGAGAGGAGAGGTTTTGTCGATGTGTTCGCTCGAGGAGGTTTATTGCGGGCCGACGTGACTTTGGTACCCCGGTCTGGCGGTCGGATTTGACTAATGAATTGTACGATGATAATCCGCCAGGCCGGGGTTTCCCAAACAACATTTTTACCGAATACTTTTATTATCCTTATCTCCGAGAGTAATTTTCATCCCTTAAATGTGAAAGATTGTCGATTAAAAAAAAATTCGTGCCTTATACTTTCTAAGTTTCATCAAAATCGGTGATTATCGCTTACAATACTCCCTTGTCGGTTATATTCTCGACGTGAACAACGAATAAACATATTTTCCAGCTTTTACGTTCGTTAGTAGAAAGCGCAAGAGCAAAGAATAAAAAAAGACAGCGAAAGCGTGCAGAAGCGAGTAATCGGAGTTAGCGAAAACCGACGTTAAGTGAAGTTAAGAAATTAGGACTCACCTCCTGTAAAATTCCAGCATGCCATTTCGTTCATTTTTCGTGCGAGCACCAAGTATATTGCAAATAATACAAGAAAAGATTAGTCGTATTGCATTAAACCACCATCACCACCACCCCAACCACTGTTCACCGTATTATTAATATTATTGTGATTATTATTATTACATTATTGTATCATCACTGTCCGCGTTCATTATCACGGGGTATGTAGTTACTGTTTGCTGACGGTATTAATTTACGACGTGTTATTGTTAAAGTTGCTTCATCAGACTAACGAAGCCCGTAATATTCTACCAAGATAGTAATCGTTCATGTGTATGATCGTCTCGTGAAATCGCTCGTAGCAAGCGCTCGCTTAATAAGATTCACCGTGAAGACAGAACCGCTGCTACGCTGTTTTTTCTAATCGTTTCCTCTCCTTTTTTACGCACGAACTTTTTTTTTTATTAACAATGTTAAGCTTGAATTAACAATATCGAGTTTAATGTCGACGGTCTAATCGTGGAAATTTGATATTTGTAGCGAAATGCAGAGGTATCGGTTAATTAACCCTAGCGCGGTGTTCGGGTCATTTTTGACCCATGATCTTTCTTATTTTTCTGATAACTTTTGCTGTCACTAAGTTTATGTTTCATTGACGTTATATTAAAAGTTTATTGTCTAGAAATAAAAATTGTTACACATGAAAGCTTTGGGTCATTTTTGACCCATAATTTTTCCTATTTTTCTGATAAGTTTTGCTGTTACTAAGTTTATGTTTTCTTGATATAATATTCAAAGTTTATTGTCTGGTAACGAAAATTGTCACGCATAAGAGCTTTTGGGTCATTTTTGATCCAGAGACCTTAAGTGTATACCTAATAGTCGAAGGAAAGAGCGCATTAGGGTTAATTTCGTTAAAATGATGAAGTGTACTTAGTGTTTTATAATTTTTTAAATGAGATTTCTGACAGGAGTCTTGTTTAGCAATGCATTTTACACCAGGAGTTCATAAATAACGTAATATAGGACACACGGCATTGTCTTATTAAAAAAGTATACGTAATTATTCTTTACTCGACATTTGATCTTTACGAACACCTATCTTGATTAAACTGCACATACTCGTACGAACTTTCTCAAATTTCCTCACTCGTTAAAATCATTCAGATATTTAGTAACCAAGAGATCCAAATCCGTCAAGCTTCGTTTAATCACCTCGAATTAGACACAAAAACGAAAAAAAAAAGTTAAATATTTAGTAATCAAGACATCCAAATCCATCGAGCTTTCGTTCAATCACCTCGAAACAGACAAACAGAAAAAAATTAAATATTTAGTAATCACGACATCCAAATCCATCGAGCCTCGTTTAATCACCTCGAAACAGACAAGAAAAAGAAAAAAGAAAAAAACAAGGACGAACTGGTTAACCACATATCAAAGATTTCTTCGCCCATGCTCCAGTTCCACCTGCACTCTTCTCCCTTTCTATCCTCTCACCGTGTCATAATTTCCCCCCGATTCGTACCTCCTCTTTCGAGCTTTCCCTCTGTCTCTCCCTTGATCTCGCTCGCGGAACTCTCGTCGGGTGCTTCACTCGGCACTAATTATTGCCGGACTCCGCGAGGTGGATGTAAAAGCTCAAAGAACCCAGGCGGGCAAAAGGGAAAGGTGAGGAGCAAGCTGGAGGAAAGAAAAAGGGAAAACGGAGAAAGAGAGAGAGGAA